CAGGCCTATCTAAAATGTGATCACAAACACAAAAATTAATTGTAAAAGTGAAAGTGTACAGGTTGGGTTAGCCTAAGAATAAGATCAAGTTTGATTTTGAAACAATGTCAATTAAATGAATGAAACTTTGACAGATAGATAGGCCTAATGACAAAATACTCACCTACGAACATCTAAAAAGCCAGATCTGTAAGTTTCAGTTTGTCGGCCACAAACTGCAAATTTATCAAATTCCGAAATGATATAAAAACTATTAGAATTGCAAGAAAAACTATGATGATGATTGATGATAACATAACGGCGTATTTAAAACATTTAACATGGCGTCGTTGTTAATCAAACGTTTGAAGATAGCTATTCCATGGGGGGGGGGGGGGTAGAAAAACAAGGGAGGTAATTGTGTTATTATTTCCGGTGTGAATGATTTTATAAGTGTGATAATGATACCTATGATCGTATAATAGTGATTTGACAACCTATTGGGCTAAAGACATAGAAATAATTATGTTTTGACTTTCTTAGAAAATATGAAATTCTCGCTTTAAAACAGCCATGACCGCACTCCGTTTTAGTTTACACTCACTTCAAATTGAAATGGGCAGATACAAACAAATGTCCCCCCAGATCTAAGAATATGCCAACAATGCTCTATGCACATCTTGAAGATGAAGCACATTTTGTACTAGAATGTTCACATATACCCAACATTTACAGATAATTATGTACCCTATTCTCTAGAAAATCTATTTAACCCACCCAAAACAGTTGCAAACTCAGTTAGAGTGTTATTTTATTTCATGCAATGAATCTAAGAACATAAATTGTGTACAGCTACATGTGTCACTACCTCTTTGTATCAAAATTATTATCTAGATTTTCATGTATTAATATATTTCATCCCATGTTTTATTACTCGATTCATGTAATGCTTCTACCATTCCTATACCTAATTACCATGTCAACAGTCTTTCTGTTATTTATGTATTTATTATATTTATACCCTTTCATCATACTTGGGGGGTTGGATGACCGAATGGTAAGCACGTGCGTGCTGTATTATACGGCCTGCCATTGAGTCAACTGGCGTGGTTTCGAATCCCCGGTCATACGTGACAAGGAGTATGGTCGCCTGTCCAACCTCGTGGGTTTTCTCCGGGTCCTCCGGTTTCCTCCCACTGCTAAAGACCCCTACGCGCAAGCGAATTATTGAAATAAAATTAAACCATATGTTAGTCCCGAAATGACCTAGTCTGTGTCGAGTGGACGTTAAACCCCATTTCTCTCTCTCTCTCTCAGCACACTTGTGTTGAATGTTGTGTCACTGTCAGACCAGTTTGAGGTAAATGTGTATTTTGAGATGATTATCATACTGTTTGTCCTGTTAATGAATGTGTGACCTAGATTAAAATTATCATTTGTCTTGTTTGTATATATTTATATTATTTGTCATATTGTTATATATTTATGTACATGTTTATATTGTATGCTGCCCTCAATGGATGTTTCAATACAATAAAATCTTATCTTATATAGGCCTATACAATGTAGGCCTATTTGACGTTTTAATGTAAACAATATAACACGTACTTGACAAGTTTTTTCCAGACGGACGCACGAACATATTTGAATTTGTAAATAATCCGCAGGTCCTGGTGTGGTTTTTACTGCGAAAACTTGGCCTTTCCACATAAAGCAAGCGGATTGGTTTTCCCAACGTTTTTTCCCCATCTGCATTGACGATACGAAACAACAATCAACTGGGCCCTTCGTTTTAACTTGGTTTTATCATGGACCGTAGGCTAATTGCAAAATAGGCCCTAAATATCACTGGATTTATACACGGTCCGTGGTTTTATTATGACGACGCGAGAAGATGAATCGTCCGCCCAGGGGCGTGGTGACCATGATTTTGCATGAGGAACAAGAACCCGTCCGAGCCCCCCAAAGAACAATATTTATATGTGTGTGGGGGGGGGGGGCTCCCAGTGCCGCCTGGTAATAGGCTATTGAGCTGTGTGGAACATGCTAGAGTCGATTGTAGTATATCTGACCCACGGTATATGTTTGACACCTGTTATGATTATGATGTTAAAAACCGCATTGAAACCGCGTGATATTTGCCATTGTGAAGCGTGTTTTATGAACGCTGAGATGGACATTAGAAATGTTTTTGTCATTAGAAGTATCAATCACATTCCTGACATTATAATACCTTTCGTATCTTTTGGGCAGTAGCAGATCTATAGAAGTTGTTAATACGGAGGGGTGGCGGAGGGAGGGGGCGGTTCAAATCTAGGGCACCATCAACTCAACAATCCCATGCACCCTTAATTGAAATGAAATGAAATGAAATGGGGTTTAACTTCCAACTGTTCTGCTCCTATACTGGGCTAATGAAGACTGACATACGCCATACAGTGTGCTATATATATGAGGGAAATTTTGCCCAGATAACGGCACTTCGGCCTACTCTTATATCGAATTCCAACTGTCAAGGGATCTTTTACGTGCATGCCAATGTATACACGGGACCTCGGTGTTTCGTACCATACTAACGACTAGACAGTTGTTTTTGTCAGGCCCTCCGTCCTGCATCCGTCGGAAAATCTCGATGCTTTCTACATAAAGCAAGCGGATTCGTTTTCCCAGTGTTCTTTTCATCCACATTGACGATACGAAACAACAATCAGCTGGACTACGATGGGGTTTAACGTCCACTCGACACAAACTAGGTCATTTCTTGACTAACATATGGTTCAATTTTATTTCAATAATTCGCTTGCGCGTAGAGGCCGTTAGCAGTGGGAGGAAACCGCAGGACCCGGAGAAAACCCACGAGATTGGACAGGCGACCCTACTCCTTGTCACGTACAACCGGGGAATTGAAACCACCCGAGTTGACTCAATGACAGACCTTATGATACAGCGCGCACGTGCTAACCATGTTAATTGTGTCTTAAATATTGGATATTATAGGGTCCTATAATTTCACGGCAAGATAACACCAATACTGATTAAAATTTATCAATATTGAATTCTAATTCGTGTTTTTGATTTCGAATATTATGGAAAATATTGAGTTAAAGACTTAGTTCCTTTAATGATGGTTTACCAATCTTTGTTATTAATAAGTTTATAGTAATTAATGCCTTTTCTGCTTTTAATCACAGTTTTTGTAACCATCATAATAGTAATAGGAAGATATTAATGCTCAGGGAGAAAAGTGGGCCTGCCGAGAAAGTTTGACAGGCCTATATAGGATTTGAGAAATAGACCCAATTGGGTTGGGCGATAATGAAAAAAGAAATATATCGTGATAATAATTTATCAAGTAGGCCTATCGTGATAAATTATACATTAAGAAGCCATTTTTTTAATATTTGAGACGATCTTGTGTGCATACTGTCTCAAATAGGCCTACTAGTAAACAAAACTATGTTCTATGTATTGTTTTATTAACCATGCATTATGCAAGAGCAAAATCTGTTTATTACAAGTCTTTCTTTAGGCCTGAAATGTTATCTAAATTATCAATTAGACATTAATTAACTTATCCAGACCATAATAAACTCTCGATGTCAAGGCTAGCCTTCGATGTTGGCTGGATTAGATTCCGATATGCCGCTAACGGCCGTTGATAATTAAATCAGAAAAAGTGGATAATCGAGACTATGCTGTTTATATTAATGATTTTAGTAATGATGACCGAGACTATACAAAAATTTCACCCGCTTCTTTCTCGGCTCATAGTGGATCAATTTGACTGAAATCTTTAGCAAATTACCTTTACACTATCTAGTTTTTAACTATTATAGTGAGAACTGCCAGCTCTTTATCTTATCTCCTATAATGCATCTTTAATATCAATCCTGGCAGTCCAATGTACTTATCAAGAACATTCAAAAAAGAAGGGGAAAAAAACCTTTTGGTACTACGGGTACTCGTCGGACCTGGTCCTATTTATTATGATTTTGAAATTTCCGGTAGGCCTAATTGGAAAACATTAAGGGTTGTTGGCTTGTTGTTGAAATTGTTTGTCACTTATCAGCCACAGAAAAACAATATATAAAGTTCATGGAATACACTGGTCCGAAGTAACTGATGTTAAAGTATGTCTTTTTTTCATTCCACAGGCTATTTGAGTAGGCTAATTGCAAAAAGGCCCTAACTATCACTGGATTTATAATAAATAACAATTATTTTATTAACCGTTAAAATTGAACTTTGGCCGCTTTGGCTCAAGTTTTTGGCCGTTTTGGTTTATGGCCGCTCAACCCCAGGATGGTAACATTAAACATGGGGGCTTTTATATAGGACCTACCTTATAACCAGCAGGCCCGTAGTCAGGAGGGGGCAGGGGGGGGGGGTGCCCTCCTGAGAAAATGTCCCCCCCCCCCGAAAAAAAAGTTGCCGACCATAGCTCTAAAATACCTACTATAGACTGTGTCCCCTCTAAAACCTTCACGGCCCCTCCACAGCCAACAAGCTGGCTACCGCGGGCCTGATAACCAGTAGGACTAAGGCCTGCTATTTTTATGTTTGTTTTCCCCCAAGTTGGTTTTAAGGTCAAAAATTAAGTATTTTTGTGCCCTTCACTTTATCATATTATTACCTAATCCCCTTCACCTGTGCATTGAGGGGTACGTCACTCCTACATTACCCGAGCCCACAGAACGTCAAAAATTATAGTCTATTATTGGGGGATTTCCCCATCCATTTAAGGTCATACAGTTCTCGACTTGCAGGAACTTGTTTTATTAATAGCCTATGGATTATTGTTATTAACACTGGGATTAAATAAAGCACCACTTTATCACCATTCCAGAAGTTTTTATTACGTAATTTTTAGCTCATAAAGTAGATAATCCATGCTTTGAGGTAATCTGTGAACTTTCTACGCCCTGAAGACTTTCAACTAAAATAAAATTCATTATGCTCAATGAGGTAATATGACGTGCGTGCGCCGACACATTTAACCCCTTTACCCTTGACAACCAACCAATGAAAGTCGTGTTGCCGTGTCACATGACCTGCTTATCCAATAGAATTGTCTATAACCATTGACTTCAGTCTTTCTCTTTGCAACGTGGTTTGGGGGAGAGCAGTTGGTTACTGATTGTCTTTCGAAATTCTTTTGATACTACTTCTTAAAGGTATGGATTATGTCTTCTTATAATATTTCCGAGTGTGGGGAACACTAAAATACTTTATAATATGTAGCATATATCATTAGAATGGCGTATTTTATCAAAACCCACTGGCCTACTTTAGAAGCCGGTGAAAGTCACATTGCCGTCATTGGCTGTATCGATGATGAAAGGAAGCCGACCCCAGTCTTATCCGGATTTTGACAGAAAGTGTGTCATAAGGACCTAAAGAACGATACAATAGTTGTCTTGTCACTAGGGTCATTGAGATTTTCCGACATAAACGATCTTAACCCAGTGATACAATTAACAGCGAATGACCGACTTCGCGTGTTCTGCCTGTACTCTCCGGTGGAAGGGTCGATAAACTCCCGTAAAAAGGTCTTATGTCATTTTACAAACGCACCGGGTTTTAAGATTAACCCCAAAAGCTCGCAGTTTTTTTTTTGTGATGATCAAAAATCATAATTAATGGACTTAATTTGTTGTAAAACCCGAGTGATAAACGGTTTTATCATTGTACTTGGCATGTGATAGCTGTGACCTTGCCACCATTTAGAGACATGTATATTCACATAGGCCCAGCATGTAATGATAGTGTCCTCGTCAGATATTGAGCAAATTTATAGCCATTATTGTTCCAAATAAAACTCTTGGTTAAAAATCTATTCCTGAAAATTCCAGTTTTTGTCTTGAATTGAAACCATGTAGATGAAAAATATTGTCTGGAAACTTTGTAACAATTGAAATGCTTGAGAGGTCATCCTGAACGTGTTTTTAATCTTTTCACATTGGTAATTAGTATGTTCTTATTTACCCTGTAGTGCCTCTCGTGTTCTCCTTATGGACCAGGGTGGGTAAGACGCTGGTTCGCTAGTCTGGAGGTCACATGTTTGATCCCTGCATTGGCAAGAATGTTCATCAGGATTTTCTGACATGGTTTCCCCTTGTCAGTGGTACAGGACGGAAAGCATGACAAGGACAGCTGTCTAGTCGTTCAGATGGAGCGAAAAACCGAGGCCCCCTGTATACATTGGCACGCACGTAAAAGATCCCTTGACAGTTGGAATTCATAGTGCTGCTGCCCGGATAAAATTTCCCTCATAGCACACTGTATGGCGTATGCCCTTCTTCATTAGCCCGGTATAGAAACAGAACAGTAGGACGTTAAACCCCATTTCATTTTTTTATGGGGCATAAACAACCGCCCATGGCACACAAATGCTGGATAAGGGTTGTCCTTTATGCAACAAACTTGTTACTGTTACACTATAGCAACCAGTCATTGTTTTTTTAAGGCGAGCGATCGCTCTCAAGTGCCTGCAGCTCACCTGAATGTCGGCCGAGGGTAGCTTTTTCTCCCTCTCCTTAAAATTGCTCTCCTTTACAAAGTCATGGGGGGGGGGGGGTATTATCATTTATGAATTCAGAACCATTTCCCATACACACAACTAATCACTCTCCTTAATATCAGATCACTCTCCTTAATTTCTAAATCACTCTTCTATCGAAACTGGGAGAGCTTATTTAGGGGCGCGATTTTTTTCAATTTCTTGATTTAAGTGGAGCTTTTTTCGGCTCTCCTCTAAAATACAAACGACTGTAGCAACCCTACATGTAATATAATTTGTGTCATTTAATTAAACATTGACTAATGGTTGATTTTGTATATTTTTAGATGCCGGAAAAAAAGAAGGAAGTCCTCAGCTTTGCTGAAAGTTTTGGTCTCAGTGGTGCTGCAGCTATCATTTCAAAAACAGCTGCTGCTCCTATCGAGAGAGTCAAGCTTTTAGTACAAAATCAAGATGAGATGATCAAACAAGGTCGTCTAACTGAGCCCTACAAAGGAGTTATCGATTGTACAGTCAAAACCTTCAGGTCGGAAGGTGTCCTCCCCTTCTGGAGAGGTAACTTGGCCAACTGTATCCGATACTTCCCAACTCAAGCCCTCAACTTTGCCTTCAAAGATCAGATCAAAATATTGTTCAAGCAGAAAAAAACAGATCCCTACATGGTCAACTTCTCAAAGAATATTGCATCTGGTGGTACTGCTGGTGCCATGTCCCTATGCTTCGTCTACTCCCTGGATTACGCCCGAACACGGTTAGCCAACGACGCCAAATCTTCAGCTAAAGGAGGTGGAGAACGTCAATTCAATGGTCTTGTTGATGTGTATCGAAAGACCCTCAAATCTGATGGTTTTGTTGGACTTTACCGAGGTTTCGTTATATCATGTGTTGGTATCGTTGTATACAGAGGGTTCTACTTTGGTCTTTACGATACATTGAAACCCATTTTGTTAGGAGATAATGCTAGCCTTTTATTTTCTTTCGCTCTGGGTTACACCGTCACAATTACTAGCGGTTTGATTTCCTACCCCATTGATACTATCAGAAGAAGAATGATGATGACATCTGGACAAGCCGTGAAATACAAGGGATCCATGGATTGTGCTGTACAGATTATGAAGAATGAAGGGTTCATGTCCATGATGAAGGGAGCTGGAGCAAATATCCTGAGAGGTGTTGCTGGCGCTGGTGTATTGGCTGGTTTCGATAAATTCAAGGAGGTATACATTTCATGGAAAGTAGGAGCAAAGAATTAGGAAATTTTTGATAATAACTTTTAGCGAACCACTGTTTAAAGAATTCATCCTTATATATATAATAACATTTTGTTGGTGTGCATGAAACGAGTGCTCATGTGGCAAAATAGAGAAAAGCTTTTGACCAAGAAGTTGTGAGAAATTCTAATAATTTATTTTAATCACACACAACTGTTGATTATTTTAGATGTAATTTATTCTGCTCTGTTAAATTTAATATCTAATGCAGTGTCGACTTGACTCTTTTTGTGTTAATATGTACATCTTAAACACATTTTATTTAGATGTAAATTATTCCATTGTCAATAGTGTATGTATAGTAATATGACAGACAGGATAATATTTGTATACAACAGCCATAACAGGGGATCATTATATATTTTGAACTAGTAAAACTAATTGTTAAATCGAATGTATTGTATTATTTGCAGTGCTCAGAGATATTAAAAAAGAGACTTATGACTGACTTTGAAAAGTTCAACTGTGTGATTTAACTGGATTGAACACTTCTAAGAAAAGGTGGGGGGTGGCACCACATTCACTTGAGATTTGATGTAGACTATCGTCCTGTTTATTCCACGACAGCAGTCCAGTACAATTGTTGCTTACTCTATGAGTATGAGAGGACCTGAGTTCAATTCTCGATTTTTCTGTGTGGGTTATCCCCCCTTGTCAGATGTATATAGTAAGCAATACCTGGCAAGGAACAATTGATTCGTTCAGATGGGACGGAAATCTGAGGCCCATTATATACATGTAGGGCGGATGTATGGCCGAATGGCTAGCGCATGCACTTTATATCATAGTCTGTCATTGAGGAAACTGGCGTGGTTTCGGTTAACTGGTTGTAGGTGAGTTTCCTCCCGCTGCTAAAGACTCTTATGTTAGTCCTGAAATGACCTAGTGTGTGTCGAGTGGACAGTAAACCCCATTTCTCTCTATATACATGCAGTGGAATGCTTAGCAGTTGAAATTAGACTGGTTCAGGAATAGGGTTGGGACTCGTGGTAGGGCACTGGCTTTGCGACCAGAAAGGTATGGGCGATTAACCAAAGATAGGGTGACCCACCATAAATAAATATCTCCATATATCTCCTTATATCTGGACAATTACGCCACAATATTTATATATATGCCAAGCCTCAAATCAGTTTCACACAATTATAGTCACTAAATAAACGATCATGTTGTACTTAATAAGCTATGACCATTAATCATCTATAAATAATAGACTGAAAACTGGTTCCAAGTGTCGTCCATTACATCCAGACACTTTTGAGTAAAAGATAGGTTACGTGCCCTTGTTTTGAAATTAGTCTCGCTTAACCAGTCTATCGACCATTCTACGTCTGATTGACAGGTCGGGATAATCAAGACTACTTTTTTACGAAACATAACAGAAAGCTAGAACAAGAAATTGAATTTAGAAATAAGCACGTTAGGTAGCTCAACAATCGTTTTAAGAAGCTTGTAAAAGTAAAATGAAACTACTGCAAGTATCATGTTCCTGTCTAATCCGAGTGATTCAGAGATATTATTTGTACTAAACCAAAAGATGCCGCTCTTAACGGTACAGTTAATGATAAAGCGATTTAAAAAATGAAACGAACGTAATTTCTAAATCTGCTGTAATAACCAAGAAGCTTAATTTCACTGCTATTCAAAATCGTCAACAATAAATTTGTTACGGCTGTAATAGTTGATAGATTTGTAGAGAATTGCACGTGCCATGGCTATTTATAGTATCATATTGTCAGAAAGTTGGTCTCGGCACGGCGAATGTGTACGCTTCAGTGGTAGTCTCGAACTATCAGCGGTGGACTTTATTTCTGTAGAGCATATGGGCCACCCTACCAAAGAAATGTTACAAGACCAATTGTTAGGGTTGTAGCCATGCATGCAGTGTTGAATGTGTCTAGCGGATTGGATGGGACAAAATGTGTCGACATTGGCATTTACATAGAACTCTTTAACGTTGGAATTAAGAGTGGGCAGAACTACCACTGTTTGGCCTAAATTCTCCCCATTTGCACACAGAATTACATAATTGTTTTAGTATTAGTTTGGACTCTAGTCAAAATTAAAGTGACTAAGGGGCTGACTTACTAACCACGAGGCACCAAAGTTGGTTGTCTGTTTCTCTGGATTTTTCCAATTTGGTCAACAATGTCTAATCCCGATTATTCAGTGACAAATTAAAATGGGTGGGGTTATAATGTCCTACCTTTACCAATCTTTCTTTGTAAGGCCCTTCGTATTGCACAACTGATAAGGAACTTTTCGACCAGCAGGTGGCTTACTCCCAGAGCCTCATATGGACATATGTTTATAGAGCCCATCGAGAGCTCTGTTACGATAAAACAGATTTTGAGTGGTAGTACTTTGTTAACCAGGGACAGTGGTCCAGCAGCAGCACAGGAGAGGAATGAGGGTTTACCGTCCACTCGACAGAAACTTGTGCATAGGGGTCTTTAGAAGTGGAAGGACCCAAAGAAAACACACGAGACTGAACCAAAAAGTACTTTTATAATTTAAGTCTGAATCTCACTCGACAATACCTGATTAGAAAACATGCCTAGTCATTCAGATCCTATGAAAAAGCAGATCCTGTTTCGATTTTTTATAGTTCAAAATTTCATAGACTAGGATCTGTATTTGTAGTTATCTCCCCTGAATTTGAAACCTCCCAAAAAATATTTAAGTGAGAAATCCTGAAGATAGGATTGGTTTTTGATACGGTTGGCAGGAGTCACAGTGATTCAGTGAGTAATACGTTGTCCCGCTAACCTGGTGTTGACAGAGAAAAGTTCATCAGGACTTTCCGGTGTGGTTCCCCCTTATCAGTGGTGCAGGACGGAGAGCCTGGCCAGGGACAACATGTACACATTAGTGTGCAGGTAAAAAAAAACCTTGAGTTTTAACATCCTACTATTTTGCACTGCCAGGCTAATAAAGACGGCCACACTGTGTTTATGAGGTAATATTCCCCAGACAGTGGCGCTATGGCCTACTCTTATATAAAATTCCAACTGTCAAGGGTTCTTGAACGTGCACACCAGTGTGTACAAATTACCTAGGTTTTTCATCCAATCCAAACAACTAGACAGATAAATAGGGTTTAATGTCCACTTGTCACATAGGATCGAAACAATGTCACTTGACTCATGACATGAAATGAAATGAAATTGGGTTTAAAGTCCTACTGTTCTGCTCCGACTGGGCTAATGAAAACGGGCATAAGCCATACAGTGTGCTCTTTTACGTGCACGCCACTGTGTACATGGGACCTCAGTTTTCCGTCCCATCCGAACGACTACACAGCTGTCCTAGTCAGGCCCTCCGTTCTGCACCAATGACATGGGGAAGCCGTGTCGGAAAACCCTGTTGAACTTTCATGGTCAATGCAGGGATCGAACACGTTACCTCCAAATTAGCTAACAAGCATCTTACCCACCGTGGCTCCCGACTCATGACTGACCTTGTGATCTTTCTCCTTAGAATAACAAACAAATTTTCCGTTTTATTTATGTATTTATAAAACAACCATCACACATCACTGTCAGAATCAGAATATGATGTCATTAATACATCTAAACCTGTATTTGACATATTATCCACTAATAATGACGACGTCACTCCATTATCAGATATTTCAGAGGAAGATGCCTTCACACATTTGTTCACATCATTGTCCATATTTTTAGATAGATTTAACAGATTTTCAATATTTTTATTTTCCACCAATTTTTCATCGGGTAATAATTTGTCAATGTTATTTGGTGAATCTATTGATGTCGGACTGCTAGAATTTGACACAAGATCGGATTTAGATTTCCGTCTTATTCCCAGATTGGTGTACACATCTTTCGGCGATGTTGAATTACGTTTTGTTAATCCAACACTGAAAGGATCCGGCCGACTTATTGTTCTTGATAAGAAATTATTTGATGGTGATGAAGAATTACAAACATTAAATATCGGCTGATTACAAATACTTTTTCTCTTTTCTTTCTGTTTTATCTCATAAGCTGAAAAAAAAAGGATTAGAATTTAGACAGGATGAAAGGCAGAGGGCGGGTGGTGATGTGGGGGGGGGGGGGGTAACGTCCACTCAACATCAATCTGATTAAAACACTGATCCTATTTTATCTCGTTTTTCATACTTCAAAATTTCGTTTTGTCTTCACAGCACTAGGATCTGGAAGAAAGAGAGATAGAGAGAAATGGAGTTTAACCTCCACTCGACACAAACTAGGTCATTTCGGGACTAACATATGGTTTAATTTTATTAACATAATTCAATGGCGCATAGGGGTCTTTAGCAGTGGGAGGAAACCGGAGGGCCCAGAGGAAACCCAGAGATTGGACAGACGACCCTACTCCTTGTCACGTACATGCTAACCATTCGGCCATCCAACTCCCCTAGGATCTGGAAGAGTTGTTATATAACAGGCGTTCTAGTTGATGTAATGAATTAGCCAATGAAACTGTCTTTTACGGCGAGTTCTTGGCATGCTCTCCACAAAACTGTGGATAAACCGCTAGAAACGTCAACACTGATTGATTAATCAATGTCTGAGGTCATAGGGTCAACAGCCGCTGGTATGACCCCTGGCGTGACTTCCCAGTTCAATTGGTCAGATCTTCATGTAGTGTAGGCCATCGAAAGTATAAAAAAACAAAACGAAATATAGATCTGTATTTTAATCAGATTGGGACTAACATATGGTTCAATTTTATTTCAATAATTCGCTTGCGTGTAGGGGTCTTTAGCAGTGGGAGGAAACCAGAAAACACATGAGTTTGGACAGGCTACCCTACTCCTTGTCACGTACAACTGGGGATTCGAAACCTTGGCAGTTGACTCAATGACAGACCTTATGATACAACGTGCACACACTAACCATTCGGCTATCCAACCTCCCTAGGCGTAACAAAGTAAAGGGTTTCAAGTGACCTTAATACAACAAGCTCTAGTACTATTGGCCCCTAGAAAGAGAGAGGAATGGGGTTGAATGTTCACTCGATACAAATAAGGTCATTTCTGGACTAACATGTGGCGTTGGCACTGAGTCCCAATCTTCAGAAATCTGCGATTCGAAATTAAACATGAGTCTACTTACAATCACTACTTACAATCAGACTGTAGGAAGTATTGGGCCTACCTATAATCAGGCCTTTAAATGTAGCAAGTGTTGGGCCTACTTATAATCAGGCCTTTAAATGGCTTTACTTATAATTAGGCCTTTAAATGTAGGAAATAATGAGCATTCTTATAATTAGACCTTTAAATCACCGTATCCAGCAATGTCACCCACTACTATAAGGAATCTGTAAATAACAAAATCCTTACATTACTAGTAACAACGGTAGATAACAACAGCCAATCACTAAACAAGGGACTGGACTATCTCGTCTTTCTCACTCGGTATTGAGAGTTATCTTCCAGGACCATTAGGAAATAATGGGTCTACTTACAATCAGTAACTGAATATTTCATTAAGCCAGCGATTCTTTTATCATCAGCATTTTCTTCTACTAACTCTATATCTAACGAACTTTTATCTAATAAAGCCTGGTCGGACATCTTTTTATCACGGATATTATTTTTCTCTGTCTGAAAATATATAAATCCTTATAGTATCTAATTCACTCAGCAAACCTCAGCAGACTCCCGTACCCTACATCTAGCCTCGGCTGTATGACGAAGTCTGCCATTGGAACTACTTTCAAGTTACCAGGTTACAAATGACGTCACTCCTGACGGCGGATTTGAAGAATGTTTTATCATACAAAGTTTTCAAAATCTGAAGCTGTTTTTCTTTCAAGTTTATCCGATTTTTTTAAAACTAAAACAAGGACAACTTTGTACTGAAAATTCTGCACATTCTTTGAACCACGCAATTTGGAGAACTTCTTTCTAAAAACAGCAGATTTTTTTAAAAAGTAAACGGGTAGCCGCATCGCAATTGTATAGGTGTAGATACATATCACTTACTGTCATGCAGCCGAGGCTAGATGTAGAGTAACGAAATCTGCCAAGGTTTCCTGAGTGGTATCTAATTAGCAGAATCTGTTGGCTATGTGAACGAATCCCCTCAAAATAAGAAGTGATATCAGATGTTCTAGAGAGAGTAAGCATACCCTATCTTGTACACAACAATTACTACTTATAGCTAACAGCATGGGGATGGGCAAGGTGATATCAGGTGTTCTAGAATGAGTGAGAATTCTCTGCCTCATACATGTCACCTGTCACTACAATCAAGTGAAAGGGGTTTGATGTCTCACAAACACAACACTTTGGTCATTTTGAGACTAACATTGAACTTTTCATTTCAATAGTTGCATGTGCAATACAACAGTGGTATTTTTCACGGATTGCCAATTCGTTAAGGGGTGAGTGAGGCTACCCGAAAAATGCTTTCTGAAATTCTAAAGCTAGTGAATTGAAGATGGCAAAAGTAGTTAGGAAATGTAATAAACAAGGCAAAACTAACATTAAATATAGGTTGCCAGGCAACAAAACACCCACAGCAGCTAAATCGTCCGGGCAGTCAACAAGAGTTGTCGCATAATTTTACTTTTTTCGGTAATGAAAAATTTATAATACACTAATATCTGATTAAGAGTAACAACGTAATTATCAGAAAATCATTAGAATTTGTTTGGTTTTTATAAAGTTCTGCCCCATGCTAATGTTTTGTATACGAAACATTTACTATGTTAAAGTTATCAAAATTCATTTTGGCCTCTAGAGCATCCACAAGATATTTTGAAGCGATCAAGGGCCATAACTCTGGCAGTAATTATCGGAAATTGCTGAAAATCATTAGGCTTCTTCGTCTCAAAACCTTAAACACTGTGCATAAATTTAAATTCAATAGGATTCTTCGTCTCATGACCTTAAACACTGTGTATAAATTTACAGTCAATCGGATATTAACTTTAGCCTCTAGAGCGTCCACAAGCAATTGTGGACGCCGGACGGATGGACGGATGCGGGCCATGGCAATATACGACCACAGTTCAATGTGGGCGTATAAAAATAAAGAAACATATTTTTGGGGAAAAAGTATGAAAAACTTAGGTACGCTATATCTCTGGCACTAATGAAGATAAATTTTTATAGTTTCTTGGAAAATGGTGTTTAAAGGGCCAATCCCGATAATTTTTTGGAGAATAAAATGCTTAATTTTGAGTTAAAATGCCTTAAAACCCTATACCTACTGGCTGAGCAAGTAACTCAATATTTGTGATACGTTTGCAAACAACTTAAACCCGTCAGTCTTCATCTGGAAATGGAGATCGGTGTCCCAAACTGTATTATATGGTATCTGGATAAAACCAGACCTTTATTTTATAAAAATAATGTGTAGGTGAAATTTACCGTCCGTTATCAAGTACAGCACATGGGTCATTCACTGTATAGACCTCTCAAGAAACGGGAATCGATTATTAGGTCACCCAACGAAGAAATTGATCTGAAATCTTAAAAGGGTTACGTGTCCGGATAAGCAGTTTTGACGTTCACGTCCAAACGACTCAATATTTTGAGCTGCAATTTTGAGACAAGGTCAATAAACCATTCCTATATATTTTGATGCTTAAATTTCATATGTACCCGGACTTTAATTTTTGAGACTCTGTTCTAATCGGGATAGTCCCTTTAAAACATTTGCCTCACCACACTATTTTGATAACTTTTTAAATATTAATGATAATTCAAATTGCTTTCTGTCTGATTTTGTGGTGGATATTAGTTTATATATCCTGCAAATCTGGCGAAGATATCTTAATTAGTTACAGAGATATATTGTACCTAGGTTTTTCATAATTTTTTCCCCAAAAATGTGTTACCCTGGCAACAACCTTTTTTTTTTAATGCTAGTTTTCCCTTGTTTATTACATTTCCTAACTACTTGTACTATTTTCAATTCAATAGCTTTAACATTTCAGAATAAAAATTTTCGGATAGCCTCCTTTAAAGAACTCAGCCACCCACCCGCCACCTTCAGAAGTTTGTCTTACTCTAAATTTATTTCTGGCTAGTTTATTTAATAAATAATCCTCTTTATAAGATTCCTTGCGATCTTCTAGTTGATATATCGTCATCACAGCCTTCTCTCCCTTCTGTTTATCATCACTTCCATGTTCTAATTTAAACATAGCATCGGTAGCCATCTTCTTCTGAGTAAGTTTATCTAAATAAAAAAATAAAAAACTATTTTGACAGAAAAGTCAAACTTAAAACCACATTGCATGATTTTAGTACTAAAGGAATCATTTGCAAACTACAATATTGTGAAAGATGAATCTCTAATAGGAATATCAGTGCCACTCGCTTTATTGGATTTTCCATTTTTTTTCCATGTGAGATTTAAATTTCCATTTTGAGTGCCGAATTCTGTGATTTCTGCGTATTTTCAGCCCTACACACTAAAAAAATCTCAAGGAAGTTTCTCAACCAACGACGGAATCTAACCCAGGACCTCCTACTTTCTGTAAACAACATCTGGGTACATATTATAAGATGATCAATGTCAATCGTGACAGAGACATTACCTTCAAGGGCAGGGGCAGGGGCAGGGGGGATGGCTGAATGGTTAGCATGTGCGCGTTGTATCATAAGGTCTGTCATTGAGTAAATTGGCATGGTTTCGATTCCCCGTTTCTATGTGACAAGGAGTAGGGTAGTCTGTCCAACCTCGTCCTCTGGTTTCCTCCCATTGCTAAAGATTCCTATGCGCAAACGAATTATTGAAATAAAATTGAACCATGTTAGTCCAAAAATGACTAGTTTGTGTTGAATGGATGTTCAACCCTATTTCTCTCTCTCACACATTACCTTCAGTTTCTATCTGGCCATTTTCTTTAGGATCCCATCTTTGTTCTTTACGTCTAGCACCACTCAATATCACATAATCATGATTCTAAAACAAAAACATATCATTTAATATCTAAAACATTATATTTAATTTTATTTAAACATACATTATGCAAGAGGTAAATCTGCCTATTGCAGGTTTTTCTTTAGGCCTTCTTCTATTAATTAGACTTTTATTAATATGACAAGACCATAATCAATTCTCGATGCCATCTGATCGGTCCAATTTTAAACAGATAATTAAGACTTTGTTTATTATCATAACGGTAAAAATGACAATCGAGGCTACAGTGTTATTAAAATGGGTATTTCTCGGTTCAGAGTGAAGGCATTTCACTGAGACTTTCAGGATATTCCTGTTACATTATCTATTTTTAGCTATTATAGCTGTCAGCTCTTTATCTAATCTTCCATAATGCTGAATTAAAATTAAAGACTTCACATATAATATTAAAAATTTAAATCAAAAACTTCACATTTAATCTGCACATTCAATTTAAAATGTATTTTAGATAAGTAGATGGCAGCATCAAATATTAAAGCTGTTCAACTCAAGGGTAAATTTCCTTAAAAGAGAGTTGTCTCCCTTAATTTCATTTTTTTGTTCTTTTTAAAAAAAGGAAATGTACATGGGTTTATTTTGTCCATAATGGCAATAAAAAGAATCAGATGGCCTAATACATTTGTTTGCATGTATTGCTCAGGGAAAACTAAAATTGTTCTTTAAATTGGACCCATGCAAAAATTGTGTTGCTTGCTGAAATCACAAATAAATCGAAGAAAGAGTTTAACCTCCACTCTTGACACACACACTAGGTCATTTCAGGTCTAACATTTACATATAATATAAAAACACAAATTTATATGGAAAACAATCACTGATTTTATTTCACACTACGTTTCAACAAGTTCCTCTTGTGAAATAAACTTTTTTTCCATATAAATTGTGTTTTATTATTAAATAATTTATGTGTAAAAACTAATATATGAAGTACACAATGTTTATGAAAAAGTTGATTGACTGGCAAGTGGAAAACTTGGGTACTACCTAGGCTACGGAGAGGAGTCATCAAAGACTTTATCTAAATAAATCTTAAAAATGAAATTATTTACTTGTGGATCTGTTTGAATTTCAAAATAATTATCACAGAGATGGCATTTCATCCTAAACTTGTAGATAGGTGTTGAATAGTAGTTTCCGTTTTTAGATTTCTCAGCATTGTATCGGACGCCCATTCCAATATGTGCATTACATCCACCACACCAAATGTTGTACGGCATCTCAAATCTAAAAGATATAAAATGTAAAAATAGGTTACCAGACAACAAAACATAAGCCCACAGCATCATATGGTAGCTTTTAATAATAAATATTATTCACTGCGGAGTGGCAGTGAAGGTTTTAGGGGGGGGGGCAGTCTACAGTAGGTATTTTAGAGCTATGGTCGGCATGCCCCCCCCCCCCCAGCTACGGGCCTGATATTATTCATAAGTAGTATTTCCCAATAACTGGTTACATACTCTTTGTAGTCTTGTTCTTGCGGGTGATTTTTGTGGTCTGAATCCTTCAGCTTAAACAAGAGTTAAGCCGATTTATTTATTTATCGTGTATGGTCGAAATGAAACTTAAACATGCATTATGCAAGAGGCAAATCTGACTATTGCAGGTCTTTCTTTAGTCCTTAAATGTTATATGAATTATTAATTAGACATTTATTAACATGACAAGACCATAATCAAATCTCGATGCCATCTGATGGGTATGATTTCAAACAGATTTAAATCCGATCTTCCATACAACGGTTGTTCGGGATAAGGTCTGCCACTGAGTCAAGTTGGGTGGTTTCGATCCAAAGCTTGTACACGACTAGTAGTAAGGTCATCTGCCCAACCTTGTATGTTTTCTCTGAGTGCTATTGAAATAAAATTTACCAAAATTGAAACGTAGCGGTGTAATAAACCATAGTAATTGTTATTCCATAAAAAGTGTTTTATTTGTACCATATGTTAGTCCCAAAATTACCCACTTTGAGTCGATTGGACATTAAACCCCATTTCTCTTACCTTATAACCAGAATGCCCTGTTTAATTTTCTTGGCTCGATCTCTGAGTGGATGTTGACCAACATGAGTATTTATCGATCCTTTACTTGGATCCCAGTCTGGAGGGTAATATTTATTAACAGCTTTCCTTTCAGCCTATATGAATAAAATACATAAATTCAATATTATATAGTTTTGAGAGAGTCACTTGCATAAGGTTATATCTTAAGCAAGCCTGGACATAAGGCAAAGATCACAGACACTTTGTCATGTAAACATTATCACACAATTTATATTTATTATTATTATTAAACATACATTATGCAAAATCTGTCTATTGCAGGTCTTTCTTTAGGCCTGAAATGTTATCTAAATTAATAATTAGACATTAATTAACTTATCTAGACCATAATCAACTCTAGATGGCATCGCTAGCCTGCGATCTTACGTGGATTGTGAGCCGATTTACTGCATAACTTTCCCTCTCGATTAAACGATTAAATGGATAATCGAGACTATGCTGTTTATCGTACTGACTTTAGTAACGATGACCGAGGCTAGGCAGAAATTTCATTCGCTTAGTTCTCGGTTCATAGTGGATCAATTTGAATGAAATTTTCAGCAAATTGCCTTTACGTTATCTAGTTTTTAATTATTATAGTGAGAACTGCCAACTCGTTATTGAATCTCCCATAATGTATCTTTAAGCTAATATTATAATAAAAATGCTGTGTGATAAATCGTGTCTGACAACGTCTATGGCAGGTTCCTTTTGTCCAGGCCTGATCCAATCGGAATAAAACACAGACCCTATTTCGTGTCGTTTTTTATAGTTCAAAATTTCGTTTTACTTGTCTTTACTACACTAGGATCTGGAAGAGTTGTTATATAAGTCGCGTTCTGGATGATGTGAGGGATTAGACAATGAAACAGTCTGTTAAGGCAAGTTTTTGTCGTCAGGTACACTGAACTGTGGGTAACCCACTAGAAACATGAACACTGATTTGGCGTGACGTACACGGAACTAAAAACACTAATGCCGATTGGTTAATCATAAGTCAGACGTCATAGGATCAAAAGTCACTCGTATGAGTATGACCCGAAGCGACCTTCCACTACAATTGGTCAGATCTTCATGTAGTAGAGGCCATTGAAAGTATAAAAAAAAAACGAAGTATAGATCTGTATTTTAATCAGATTGGGCCTGATCTTAAAGAGGAGATAAATCAAACAATTTTATTTGATTTTACTTTTTTAAGTTTTCACAATATGAATAGGCCTCATAATTCTTCTCGATAATCAATTTGAATCATTCATGTTATATCCTCTACATAATTTTTCATACTCACCATGTTGTTTTGTTGTTTGAAAGTCGGTTTAAAATTCTGTAGATCGGGACTCGATCAACTTGAGACTGAAGATATAAATTCAACGTTTACGTTTTTGTCATCACGTTACCAGAAACTAAATCTAACTTTTTTAGGTCAAGAGTAGAGTGATCTCCCTTGAAAATGACGATCTTTCATGATGATCTGCATTTGGTTTATTTGAAACGTTTTTACACGGACCTAGTATAAAAAGGACGAATTGTTGAATTTGAAATCAGTTACTATCTAAAATAGATCATTTTATTTGTTTTCGTCGTGTAATTATTAGCCGTCTTAGAAAAATAGTAAATTGACTCGATCAACCGGCGCAATTTCCGTGGCCTTGAACTTCACCGGTGACCTTCAAAGTTCAACAACGTTGATTTGACACTTCCTTCAATCCTTGGGCTTTGCTGATTCGGTTCGCAAAGAGAATGTCCTATTTTCTGTAAATAGAATTAGGTAAGAATTAAATTGTATATAATGCCTTTGCACATTCACTATGTTGTGTCGCACTGTTTAATATTTCTGCACTATTTATTTTGCCCTTGTCTGTCATCCTTGTTAACATGATCAACATGACATGATCATGACATAATAATGATTGATGTTATTGTTTGAAAAGTTAATTTGCAATGTGAATGGGTCAATGACAAATATTATGTTTAGGTGTACGTAGGGCTGTTGAAGTATGAAATGGGTGTATTTTTTTGTAAGTCCATGCAATGATGAATTACTTGTGGCATGACCAAGCAGATTTTCCCTTTCAGATGCAATAATCACGGTGACAGAATAGAAATTTTGAAGATCCATTTCAAGAAAATGTTTGATAGTTTAGTTTGCGTTGTAATGATTGGTCTGACAATAAATTGCTTCAGGAGACAGTGATTACGGCGTCATACTAGAAAGCGATATGCAATTTGTCGCACAGCGGTACAATGCGAAAGCCTTCATATTTTAGGTGTGACATCACATTTTAAATTTTAGAATTTAATTTAAAGGAGACAAATTTAGTATTGAGAGCTAATTAACTCTATTCCATGTCAGTTTGACACAGTGATTGATGTATAATTTCAAAGCAACAAGCAATAGGCCTACTTGCCACATCATTGGTAACTCCTCGTGGCCAGGGCTGTCGGTAATTTTTCACAGTTGATTAGCAAATTTAAAAACTGATTAGCAGTTTTTCAGTTTCAACATAAAACAACTAAATTATAAGATTTTACTTTAATTAGTATATAACAAATGATTAGATTTCATTCTTCAATTTTTTTTTAGCACTGCTACAGGTCGCTGTGACAGTTTGTGAATGTGATGTAGTCTTTTGGTTAGGTCTTTGTCTGAAGCCAATTCTTAGTAGTGGCTTCTGAAGCCCCACTCATTTTAATTGTCATTTCATCGTCAGAAAACAATTTCATCTGCTTTTTATCGTGTTACTATTTTTGTTCAATCGGACACACAAGGATATTAACCAATAAACTCGATTAATATAGACACACGCGATATAAACAATAATATTTTACGGGAATTCTTACTTTATTTACAATACCTTCAGAATACAATGGATTTATTTTTTATTCCAAATTGAATACTGATTTAATTACTTGAAATTGACATATATATCTCGAAACATGAGTGGTACTACAGTACTTGATTCCCTATTTCCAGTTTAATAGTCCCTATTCATAGAGTTATGTCCCTGTATTATATACATGTAGCATAATGAATTGTGTCTGGGTAGTTCGAGAAGGAACTGTCAGACAGAGAATTCAGTTTTGTTTATAAAATTTTATTTGACATTTTATACACGAATCAAAAACCTTAGATTATAATTATTGATTAGCAACGAACAAAATATGTATCACAAATTGTGCTGTGATACTGGTTGTCGGCAGCCCTGCTCGTGGCTGACAAAAGTCAATATTTGTTGCAATGACACAAACACAAGTGATTTTTTATTTTTTTATTTAAAAGCAGTATGGGAGGCAATTAAAATCTGCTTACATATGGCTTAAGAAAATTAACTACTAGACTATGGTTATGCATAAAGTTAAAACGTATATGTATATTCAAGTGATTGTTTTTCCCATAGAAATTGTGTTCTGTTATTTACAGTGTTAATGTGTTTCCCAATCGTTAAATGCCACTTAAACATTATAAAATGTACTAGGCCTATTTTATATACTTATTTTATATGAATATTACAAACCTCCACAATTCTAAAAGCGGGGTTGGATGACCGAATGGTTAGCGCGTGTATATTGTATCATTAGGTCTGATTTCCTCCCACTGCTAAAGACCGCTACACACAAGCGAAGTATTGAAGTAAAATTGAACCATATGTTAGTCCCGAAATTACCCGGTTTGTGTCAAGTGGACGTTAAACCCTCCCTCTCTCTCTCACTCTCTCTCTCTCTCTCTCTCTCTCTCTAACTATAAGTAGGCCTACAGATGTGTAAACTGCTGATGGTCGTAAAATGTTTTTGTATCAATCTGTTTAAGTCCAAGGCTACACTGACATGCATGTGTATGAGGAGTGGGATGTTTGTAAATCAACTCTAGAATTATCAGATGTTTACTCCAATGTTTTTACTAGAATTTATTTATACAATAAGTCACTGTATGTATAAATGATATAACACATGTTAAAAATTATCTCACCAAGGTCAAGCTGTATAAATGTGATTTAACCAGCGTGCAGTACACTCATTCTAGTTTTAACATGTCATATTTCATGATGGTTCAGGGTTTTTAGGTGAAGGTAGTTTGTTCTGAATTGGTGCAGATTTTGTTTTCTTCAATGATTTTAACTTGTGTATAAAGCTGTCTGAAGAATGCTCACACTTTTGGTTGGTTTGGTTCAGGAAGACTATTTTAAGCTAAAGTTTATTTTGGATTTGTATTTCTAGGTAGGCCTACAAATCGAGACTGTTGGATTAGGAATGGTTCCTCTTCAACTCATGTTGTTCCTCTTCTCTTTGGGATAAGGGGATACACTCTTCGAAAAAAATCCTAAGACTCTGTCAATTCAAATGTGATTGACATGAAACTTGGCATGATTGTTCCTTGGACAATTGTATATCGATTTGGGAGCCACAGTGGCTAAGTGAGTAAGATGCTGGCTCGCTAGCCTGGAGGTCGCATGTTCGATCCCTGCATTGGCCCAGAAAGTTCATCGTGATTTTCCAACGTTGTTTCCCATTGTCAGTGGGGCAGGAAGAAGGGAGGCCTGACAAGGACAGCTGTCTAATCATTCGGATGGGACAAAAAAACAAAGTCCCATGTATACAGTTGGAATTCAATATAAATGTATGCCATAGTGCCCATGCCCGGGCAAATTTCCCTCATAGCACACTGTATGGCGTATGCCTGTCTTCATGAACCCAGTCGGAGCAGAACAGTAGGACGTTAAACCCCATTTCATTTCATGTCACAATTCCAAGATGGCAGTGATGACGTCCTGCATGGTTCCTGATCCATATATTGTTAAATGTTATGTTTCGTATTAAACATATTTCTAGGTGCACATATAAATATGTGGAGTTATTAAGATCCTAAGGCAGATTTTAGAAGAATAATTGCTGCACTAGTGCATGTGCTGCATGCATGGCTAAATATTTGTTTTTGTGTGAGAGCTATAAATAAAGGGGGGGGGGGGTGGATGGCCGAAATGATCTAGTTTGTGTCGAGTGGACGTTAAACCCCATTTCTCTCTCTCTATAAATACAGATTTTTATGTTTAGGGATTTTTCAAAAACTTACATTTTACTCAAACTTATCACAGGCATTGTCGGGGGGGGGGGGGGGAGAGAGAGAGAGATTAACGTCCACTCGACACAAACTAGGTCATTTCGGGACTAACATATGGTTTAATTTTATTTCAATAATTCGCTTGCGCGTAGGGGTCTTTAGCAGTGGGAGGAAACCGGAGAACCCGGAGAAAACCCACAAGGTTGGACAGGCGACCCTACTCCTTGTCACGTACAACCGGGGATTCGAAACCACGCCAGTTGACTCAATGACAGCATTGTCCGGAACAAATCCTTGTTGTGCCTGTTATTTTATTCGGCACAGATTTGCCTATTTTCGTTCTTTTTAATGATATTTTGAAATAATGTCCCACATGTGCAGCTTAATGCCATTGACAATCTTGATTTTATTTAGATCTTGCACACAGCTTAATACATCTTTTTGTATGAACACATAAAATAAAGTATTTGTCTTTTTTTTTTTTCAGAGCAAGTAATCAAAATGCCGATGCATCAAGTACGAGTCCTGACTATAAATGCAGGAGAAAGTACTGAAACGACTTTATATCGTCTAGAGAAAGGTAAAATAAAAACTTAACACATCTTATACAATATTTCAATTTAATTAAAGATGTTGGGTTTTTATGGGGGGGGGGGGATGGCCGAATGGTTAGCATGTGCGTGCTGTATCATAAGGCCTGTCATTGAGTCAACTGGCATGGTTTCGAATCCCCGGGTGTACATGACAAGGAGTAGGGTCGCCTGTCCAACCCCGTGGGTTTTCTCCAGTTTCCTCCCATTGCTAAAGATCCCTACGCGCAAGCGAATTATTGAAATATAATTGAACCATATGTTAGTCCCTAAATGACCTAGTTTGTTTCAAACCCTAAAGACCCCTAAAATTGTATCCATAAAATTGTACCTTGTGTTAAAATAAATAAATAAAATAGCAGGGTACAGATAAAATATAGATAGAAAATCCTAACAAATTAAAAGTAAACTATTTGGTAAAACAAATATATAGCAGTGTACAGATAAAATATAAAACATTAAAATAATTGGTAAAAGAGATAATTACGTGAAAGTTTTTCGGAACAGTTCTGTTTTTAGGTTCTTTTTAAAAACATCGAAACTTAAACATGCATTATGCAAGAGCAAAATCTGCTTATTACAAGTCTTTCTTTAGGCCTGAAATGTTATCTAAATTATCAATTGGACATTAATTAACTTATCCAGACCATAATAAACTCTCGATGTCAAGGCTAGCCTTCGATGTTGGCCGGATTAGATTCCTATATGCCGCTAACGGCCATTGATAATTAAAGCAGAAAAAGTGGATAATCGAGACTATGCTGTTTATATTAATGATTTTAGTAATGATAACCGAGACTATGCAAAAATTTCACCCGCTTCTTTCTCGGCTCATAGTGGATCAATTTGACTGAAATTTTCAGCAAATTACCTTTACACTATCTGGTTTTTAACTATTATAGCAAGAACTGCCATCTCTTTATCTTATCTCCCATAATGTATCTTTAAACTGGTCCTGGTTTTAAAGGATATATTGTTCCAAAGTTTCGGTGCTGCTACCGAAAAGGAGCGTTGTTTCTTGGCACATATATCTTTCATTGTTATTCTTTCAGGATGGACGTTAAGATTTGTGCTTGGAGCATCTCTTCATGCGAAAACAGTTCGACTCTTCTGCAATCATCCCCAGGACAAGTCTGTTCCATTTGACAGATTGTCATTCTATGAATTAGCGTGGAGAAATCCAAGTGGTATGAAAAATGATAGAGTCGATGTGTTTGCTGAAATACCCATAAATTGTGCTGGATCGTTTAATTTTTTCTTCACGATTGATGGAAGGTATGTGGGTAAATTGATTATCACATTTTGATCATAACAATAAACAGTATACCAATATTCATGAAGGCTAACAGCTCTTCCTACAGGCCAAGAGTTGGGGTTTTCTCCAGGCCCACACGTTACCTCCCATCAGGAGCATAAAAAAAAAATTTGAATCTACTAGCCCAGGGCAGTAATATTCCTCCAAAATTACTGGTCTTGGTTTATACAGCAGAAAATGAAAGCATTGTTTGTGATGTATGTAATACAGGTATGGTCTCCATGTTATTTTTACACCCCTGTCTCCCATTCCTAATGACCCCTACTCGCCAATGAATTATAAAAATATAATTGTACCAAATGTTACACCAGAAATTACCTACTTTGTGTTGACTCATGAATGGATGCTAAACCTCCCTCTCTCTCTCTCTCTCTCTCTCTCTCAATAAATAATCATCACAAGTGGGTGTTGTTTTTATTTTCAAGGTTAGGGGGTTAATTGGCCGAATGGTTAGCGAGTGTGCGTTGTATCATAAAGTCTGTCATTGAGTCATCTGCTGTGGTTTTGATTACCCGGTTGTACGTGACAAGGAGTAGGTCGCCTGTCAAACCTCGTGGATTTTCTCAGTTTCCTCCGGTTTCCTCCCACTGCTAAAGACCTCCTACGCGCAAGCGAATTGTGGAAATAAAATTGAATCATATGTTAGTCCTGAAATGACCTAGTTTGTGTCAAGTGAATGTTAAATCCCATTTCAATCTCTCTCTATTTTCAAGGTCCATCTCTTGAAAGGAGGTAAACACCAATGTTTTTGTTATTCCAAATTTTCTGTTAATATTTAACCGTCAGTACTCAGTACCTCAAATCACATAAATATCCTGGTAAAATTTTACGAATGGTATTATATTTCTGTGATACAAGTGATTTGAGTTGTTCTCAGGAGCTGTAGTTTCACAGTTTCAGGCAGTTTTGAAAATGAGCTACAAAACATAATAACTATTTATTGTCATGGAGCGACGGTGGCTAAGTGGGTAAGGTGCTGGCTCGCTAACCTGGAGATCGCATGTTCGATCCCTGCATTGACCGGGAAAGTTCATCAGGATTTTCCGACATGGTTTCCCCATGTCAGTGGTTCAGGACAGAAGGCCAGACACGGACAGCTGTTATGTCATTCGCATGGGACAAAAAAACAATTTCCCGTGTATACATTGGCATGCACGTAAAAGATCCCTTGGCAGTTCGAATTTGATATATAAGAGTAGGTCATAGTGCCGCTGCCTTGGCAAAATTTGCCTCATAGCGCACTGTATGGCGTTACTGGCGTATGCCTGTCTTCATTAGCCCAATTGAAGCAGAACAGTAGGACATTAAATACAATTTAATTTCATTTCATTTCATGTTTTCTTTTTCTCCAATAGTCAATTCTAACCTCGTGTGATTTCTCCGGGTCCTCCGGTTTCGTCCCACTGCTAAAGACCCCTATGCGCAAGCGAATTATTGAAATAAAATTAAACCATATGTTAATCCCGAAATGACCTAGTTTGTGTTGAGCGGACGTTGAACCTCATTTCTCTCTCTCTCTCTCTCTCTCTCTCTCTCCAATAGTCAATATTAGGGTTAGCTAAAATATTTATATTTTTGATTTCAGTGAAGATCACCGCAACCCAAATGGTGCAGGATGTTTTTTGGTTGAACCAACCCTCTCTGTCGGATCTAACGATAAAGAAATCACATTAGACTGTATCCAGAGCCAGTCGGTCGTAACAAAACTACTTGGCCCTCTTAACGAATGGAAGGGACGATTACGTGTTGCCATGGAAACAGGATACAACCTGATCCATTTTACTCCTGTACAAGAATTGGGTATATCCAACTCTGCTTACTCCATCCGTAATCAGCTTCGACTGAATCCCCTCTACTACGAGAAAGGCAAACAGAACAGTCTGGACGATGTGGAAGATATCGTAAGAATGATGAAAAAGGAGTGGCAGGTTTTGTCCCTGACTGATCTAGTCTACAATCACACAGCCAAGGACAGTCCCTGGATACTTGAACATCCAGAAAGTGTATTTAATTTAGATAATTCCCCTCACCTGAAACCAGCTTACCTGATGGATCGTATATTCCACCATTTTAGTTTACAAGTAGCAGACGGGAAATGGGAGGCGAAAGGAGTGCCACCAAAAATAGACAAAGAAAGCCATTTACAGGTAGGTCAATTTATTCTGTTCAACAGGGTATTGAAATCAAATAGTTGGGACATGGTCCTCAAAACAAGAATGTTCATGGTTTGTCAACCAAAAATGGATCCATTAGTTTTATAAAGCTTTTTTATAATTACATGAAAAATCCCTTGGCAGTTGTAATAAAAGCAACGTTCTACAATAAACATGCTCTATTAATCTCCATGTCAACTACTAAAGTATAGGCCTTCATGTTCTGCTATGATATTGGTATTCGTGTTGTGTTAACTGCTATAATATAAGTATGTGTTAACTGCTATAATATAAGTATTTGTGTTGTATTAACTGATATAATATAAGTGTTTGTGTTGTGTTAACTGATATAATATAATTATTCGTGTTGTGTTAACTGCTATGATATAGGTATTCATGTTGTGTTAACTGATATAAAATATAGGTATTCATGTTGTGTTAACTGATATAATATATAGGTATTCATGTTGTGTTAACTGATATAATATAGGCCTTCATGTTGTGTTAACTGATATAATATAGGTATTCATGTTATGTTAACTGCTATAATATAGGTATTCATGTTTTGTTGTGTTTATATTTTAAGCTAATGGAGGGTATACTGTTAACAGATGTCTTTCCACAGTTTAATCTGTATGAGTTTTACACTGTATCAGAAGAAACTATATTAAAAGAATTCCGAAGAGCTATTGAGGGTAAGACTTCGAAACCTAATATTTCAGACAAAAAGGCAAAGACAGTGGACTCTGGCAATTCCGACATCTTACGGGATCAATACAATATGCCAGATTAGACAGCATGTCGGAATACTCAATTTCTGCAATACCAGAAGTATTATGCCAGAAATACTAGAAGCAGAGTACCGTAATCTGCTGAGGTTTGCCGAGTGTGTATTTGACGTGAGAACCTCAAATCAAATGCCAAGCGCTCTCTCTTTACAAGAGATTATTAAATTATAGAGGTAATCAACAAAGACCGGCATGTGTTTTATGCTCACGGATAATTGATTGGTGATTTCTTGTCGGTTAACACCCACTGATTGAAGGTCGGATTATCCAATGTTAATTCAACGCTAATCGTGTGACAGGACCAATGGCGCCAGGCAGGGTAAGCTTACTCTTTCGGACACCTGTTACCACTGTTTGTCATGTATTTTGTACACGGTGAACAGTCCATATGCTGATTACACTATTTTGCCTTATTACACTATTTTGCCTATACCGTTTTTTAGGACTTTGAATTTTGTCTAATGGTTTTATTTTATTGAAGGCTGAATTATCCAATGTTAATTCAACACAAATCGTGTGTATGTGCCGCTGATTGATGTCATAATTCGGAATATTCAGAATCCGGACTACTCAAAATTGGGACATGAAAATGATGACGGATTTCACAGAATGCCATAGTATTCAGATGTCAGAAGTAACAGAGTCCACTGTACAAACTTCTGGACCAGACAGATGTCAGACGTAACAGAGTCCACTGTACAAACTTCTGGACCAGACATAATTAAATGACGGTCTTATCAAAAGGCATACTGGTTCAAAAATATTAAAATCAATCCTTTTCACAAGTTTCATAAAGCGTAAATATAATTGTCTCCAAATAATTTCAGATAATCGTCTGGTACAACAGGGCGAGAAGGAGTTAATTATAAAACAAGATAAAAATTATAGACGATTAAAGAGTACCGTTGACATGGAAACGGTTTTACGTCTGTATAATACTGACAGGTAACGATTATTAGAGTTCAAACAATATTAAACGATTTTCAGTTTGCCCAAATCAACGAAGCCACATTACTTTAAACAAAACTCACCTGTTACAATGGAGACAGCGGCAAATACAGTTCTCTGTTAAAGCATCAATGATTGTGTCAGCTTATTCATAGTCATATATGAGGGGTGGAGTGTCGTGGGCGAATGGTCTAACAGATGCGTTTTAGCCTGTCCTTACTTTGAGAAGAGTATGAAAATTAAGGTCCTTACATGTACTTCGAGAAGAGTATTAATATTAATGTCCTTACTTTGAGAAGAGTGACTATTAAAGTCCTTAGTTTGAGAAGAGTATGAATATTAAAGTCTTTACTTTGAGAAGAGTGAATAGTAACGTCCTTACTTTGACAAGAGTATGAATATTAAAATCCTTACTTTGACAAGAGTATGAATATTACTGTCCTTACTTTTAGAAGAGTATGAACAGTAAAGTCCTTACTTTGAGAAGAGTGAATATTATTGTCCTTACTTTGACAAGAGTGAATATTAAAATCCTTACTTTGACAAGAGTGAATATTAACGTCCTTACTTTGACAAGAGTATGAATATTAACGTCCTTACTTTGACAAGAGTGAATATTAAAATCCTTACTTTGAGAAGAATATTAATATTAAAATCCTTACTTTGAGAAGAGTGAATATTAAAATCCTTACTTTGACAAGAGTGAATATTAAAATCCTTACTTTGACAAGAGTATGAATATTAATGTCCTTAGCTTGAGTGGTGCATAAATCCTTAACAATGTGAATATGTGATTAATATGTGTATAAATTTATTTTATTTTTAATTTAAACAGTGATGATGATAACAGGTAGTTAATGATATTTTTATACCTATATTTTATTTAGTTCACACTTACAGTATTCTATTTTCTAGATGACTTGCCACACCCATCTTGACTTGTCAACAGTTTCAGTTTGAGCACATTATTATCTTTATTATATAGTTAGTTAAAGTCTCAGATCCCGAGGGGATGGGTGGCCTGCATGCGCGTTGCATGATAAGGTCATTGAGTCAATTGGCTTGGTTTCGATTCCCCACGTGACAAGGAATAAGATTGCCTGTCCCGATCGTGGGGGGGTGGTTGCGTGAACGTTGTATCATAAGGTCATTGAGTCAATTGGCTTGGTTTCGATTCCCCACGTGACAAGGAATAAGATTGCCTGTCCCGATTGTGGGGGGGATGGGTGGCTGCGTGCACGTTGTATCATAAGGTCATTGAATCAAGTGGTTTGGTTTTGATTCTCCGCTTGTAAGTGACAAGGAATAGGGTCGCCTGTCGAGATCATGGGGAGTTGAGCGACCAAAAGGTTAGCGCATGCGCATTGTATCATAATGTCTGTCATTGAATCAAATGATGTTGGTTTTCTACTTGTACGTGACAAGGAGTAGGGGTCGCCTGTCCAACCTTGTGGGATTTCTCAGGGTTTTCCAGTTTCCTCCCACTGCTAAAGACCCCTACGCGGTAGCGAATTAATGAAATAATATTGAACCATATGTAAGTCCTGAAATGACCTACTTTATGTCAAGTGGACATTAAACTCTCTCTCTCTCTCTCTCTCTCTCTCTCTCTCTCTCTCCAAGGGATACAAAATCACTGAAATGGGGATCAGAGACTTTAACGGAATTAAGTTTTGAAGTTTTTTTTTAAAGTAGATTTAGAAGGCTGTTGTTATTATTACCAAATTATAGATTTGAGTAAAGCTAATTTATTTTTATTCCCCCAGTGTTGAGATTTTTACAGCTTGAAAATCATTGTTACGGTTCTTATTTTCACTTTTTATACACCCATATTGAAATGTGGTTGTGTATATATATTCTCGTCACCATTGTCTGTCTGTGGTCCACAAATGCTTGTTGACACTCTAGAGTAGGGGTGTCAAACTCTATTCAGGGGTCACATGAACTAAAATTTTACATCAAGTGGGCTTGAGATATACAAAAATTCTAAAAACAAAGTCAAACGTCCACTCCTTGAACTTTATTGAATTCTAAAAACGAAGCCAAACGTTCTTGATACAGGTGAGTTTTTAGACTGGTTTCCAAATTGCCAAGATAACAATAATAAATGATTTCCACTGCTAGTTCTAAGAATTATTGACACATCAGTTTGTTGAAGTTTGTTCCATGGGACAAATTTAAACTCTTGGTGGGCCATGCTTGACACCACTGCTCTAGAGGTTGAAAGTTATCATCCAATTGACATTGAAGGTTATTGATTATTAACGATTTTCAATATCTCAAACAGCTATAACGGCTATCATGTTATTACCAGTACAGAGTTTATATGATAAATGTTAGCGTTAGGAGAAAAGTTCCTTTCGTAACAATCTCTGACCATTCCAAAAGGAACAATAGGAAGAAAGACATGTAGAAAGTCTATAAAATGTTGATTATTCCTGATAATTTCTTCATGGGTTGACACCCTTGACAGGGAACAAAATAACTGGGTTCGCATCGCAGTTTGCGATCCATCTCCAACTTTACTGCAAGTCAATAGAAAAATTGATTAGTGAAACTTTATTTAGATGATTGGTGTCGAAAATATCATCCACAATGCAATTTTATGTCATGTGACGTCAGTAACTTCCAAGTTATGTGCAAAATATGGATCAAAAATATTAATATTTTCCAAAATTACAAAAACTGCCAAAGTTTATCGGCTATTTATTTATGGTGAATAAAAAGTAAACTGATACATTTAATTAATATTAGGGACCTTTCGCATCGGTACGAATACGAAAACGTCATCGATTCGTGTGTACTTGTGACGTCAATCCGTAATGAGTGTTCGACCAGTGAAAAACGTTATGCGTATGGACCTGGGTTTACGTAGGTATGCAAACGAATATGTTTCCTGCCTCATATATTGAATTATGCACCATTTGTCGATGATTTGTGTATATTGTTGATTGTGTGAAGTTCGTAGAATGTGCTCAAAAGCAATATTCTGCTTAATTTGTTGTACATCTGCCAAAAAATTGATTGAAAACATTGACTTGACCGTGAAGTTCATGGAGTGGAAATTAACGCCATCTAGTTATTATTGTACGTCGGATCGCGAAACCGCATGTTAGAGGATACGAAAACGAAAACGGACATATGTTCGTTTTGGTGTTCGTTTTCGTACCGATGCGAAAGGTCCCTATTGAGTATTAATGATAGATTGTAATTGCATTCAAATGACCAAAACTGCTAATCGAAATTTGATTTGATCAGTAAAAATTTTATTAAAACTGTTTCACACTGCTAACCAATTATTATGTTCCTTGATCAGTTATTAGTGTTTTGTAAATGAACAAAACTGCTAATCAAAATTTCATTTGATTAGCAAAAATTCATTAAAACTGTTTCACACTGCTAACCAATTGTCGACAGTTATTTTGTTCCTTGATTTGATTTGATTAGCAAAGATTTATTAAAACTGTTTCACACTGCTAACTAATTGTTGACAGTTATTTTGTTCCCTGATCAGTTATTTGTCTCTTGTAAATGCTCCTATTACCCACAAAGACTAAATATACGACAGATTTTATTGACTGTTCACAGTGAATATCTAGGGCCAATTTGTTTCGTAAATCATATGGGTGCCCAAACTATTTTACGCATAAAATGGATGGCCGAACTGTTAACTCGTGTGCATTATATCATAAAGCCTGTCATGGTTTCGATTCCCTGGTTGTATGTGACAAAGAGTAGGATCGCCTGTCCAAACTCGTGGGCTTTCTCCGGGTCCTCCGGTTTTCTCCCACTACTAAAGAGGTGCAAGCAAATTATTGAAATAAAACTGAACCATATATTAGTCCCGAAATGACCTAGTTTGTGTCGAGTGGAGGTTAAACACTCTCTCTCTCTCTCTCTCTCTCTCTCTCTGATAAAGATGTTTACTCATAATTTATTACCAATATACCAATATGGCTCAAATCTCATTTAAATTCCATTATATACTATGCCTTAAATTACTCTTGATGCTGCGAATCAAGGTGATCCATCCATTAGTCGAAAGTAGATTGATTTATGATACCATAGTGGCCGGTTCATCATTTTACCAATCGGCTTGATTGAACTTCAAGCGGCTAAAGGCGACAAAAAACAGCCGATTAAGATCCCTGGTCTTCAACCTCCAAACTTGGGATCTGAACCTCTCAAAATTTTCAAGATACCTCTGTGTTTTAGACAACTTAGCTGCTGTGGTCGTATGCCGTATAACACATTGCCTGATAACCTTTCTGATTAATTAGTTTTAGATTTGATAGTTAAACATTCTTAATTTCACATTTATTAATTAGATTTTATTTAGTGCATGAATAGTCTTTTTATTAGTTAACCGGTGCAGCGGAATGTTTACCCTTATCGTAGAGATGTCCTTCTCTTGGGTTGGATGGCTGAATGGTTAGCACATGCACGCTATATCATAAAGTCTGTCATCGAGTCAACTGGCGTGGTTTCGATTCCCCGGTTGTACATGACAAGGAGTAGGGTCGCCTGTCCAACCTTGTGGGTTTTCTCCAGGTCCTCCGGTTTCCTCCCACTGCTAAAGACCCCTAAGTGCAAGCGAATTATTGAAATAAAATTAGACCATATGTTAGTCCCAAAATGACCTAGTTTGTGTCGAGTGGACGTTTAACCCCATTTCTCTCTCTCTCTCTCTCTCCGTTCTCTGGGTTGGTTTGTTTATCCGGGGACATAGGCTACCTTCAATACCGCTGCATCGATCTTTACCATTCGGCATGGTATGTCAGACTTACAATCTGATTAAAATACAGATCTGTATTTCGTTTCGTTTTTTTATACTTTCGATGGCCAACACTACATGAAGATCTAACCGGTTGTAATGGAAGGTCGCGTCAGAGGTCATATGAGCGACTTTTGACCTTATGACGTCAGGCATTGATTAATCCATCAGCGTTGACGTTTCTAGTGGTTTACCCACAGTTCCGTGCATCACACGCTAAGAAATCACCGTAACAGATGGTTTCATTGGCTAATCCTTCACACCATCCAGGTAGTAAAGACAAGTAAAATGAAATTTTGAACTATAAAAAACGAAAGGAAATAAGATCTGTGTTTTAATCAGATTGGTCAGACCTGTGATCTTCTTGTTGTGTACCAGGCAGTTTGGTTGCAATAAGCTTGTTTCTTCTGAAAGTCTGTTGATATCCTGAATGATAATTCATTTCTATCCCAGAACATCAACACCAAGATGGTATCTAACTGATCACTTTCACGTCATGGCACTGCTCTAACTTTAAAATGGCATTCTATCAATTTCTATAAATTGTCCAGGATAGTCTTTAATATGAAGAAAGTTGTTGTAATTATAGGTTCAATTTAAATCGCTTCCAAATTAAAAAATTACTGATTTGCTTTTGTCACTGAAGTTTAAAGTACTTCTGCATCTTTTAACAATAGGCATATGATTTTACCTGCTTAAAACTATATTTTACCTGTGTAAAACTATATTTTACCTGCTTAAAACTATATTTTACCTGCTTAAAACTAATTTTACTGGTGTAAAACATAATTGTCTTAATATTTTACCCGTGTAGAACTATATTTTACCTATGTGTGTAAAACTTTTTAACCTGTGTAAACTTATTTTAACTGTGTGTGTAAAACTTATTTTAACTATGTGTGTAAAACATATTCTACCTCTGTGTGTAAAACTTTTTTTGTACCTGCGTAAAACTTACTTTTACTTGTAAAACTTATTTTACCTGTAAAACTTACCTGTAAAAGCTATTTTACCCGTAAAACATATTTTATGTGTGTAGAACATATTTTGTCTGGTAAACATATTTTATCTGTCATGTATTACAACTTATTTACGCAAAGTTAAACCTACTTTTATTTACAGCCTCCTGTGAAATCTTCGACTCACCTTTCAAACTTGGTTGTATATTACAATATGTAACAATAAACTAAGCATGATGTTATTATTTCAGACCTGGGGCATTGAATCGACAGGAACGAATCACTCGATGTTGTGTTAGTTTGAGAGAGAAACTAGAAGAGTTGAACAATGAGAAAAAACGAGAATTAGACGTACATATAGGTGTGGCTGTAGACAATTTCCTGGCGAATGTACGCTGGAGATTCCTGGCACCAGATGGACCGAAGATTGGTACTGTGACAGACGAAGAACCGTTGATGTTTGGGTAATAAAATATCGAGATTTATTTGTTTTATGATTTACAAAGAAATAAAATCACGATATTTTGAGATTTATTTGATGAGTCCAGAGGAAGAACGATCTAAGTCACATTTTTGTCTTTTCCAAATTTCCTGATTGTATGTGACAAGGATTAGGGTCGCCTGTTCCACCTCATGGGTTTTCTCCGGATCTTCCAGTTTCCTCCCACTGCTAAAGACCCCTACTGACCAGCAAATTATTGAAATAAAATTGTACCATAATTTAGTCCCGAAATGACCTAGTTTGCGTCAAGTGGGTGTTAAACCCCATTTCTCTCTTTCTCTCTTCAGCCTAGTATCCCTGCCAAGAACCAAGTAGGAATTCGTTCAAAGCATACCACATGATCATGGACTTTTACTGCATGACATAAACTATATCTATGCTAAGCTTTTGATTCATTTTTTTCTCTAGTTATGCTAAGGAACTTTTTAATTTATTTTGGGTATTTTGTTATCCCACCCAGTCAATAGGATCTGTTAAAACTATTTCTGGTATTTTGTGATCCCACCCACTCATGCAGGATCTGTTGCTAAGGAACTATTTGATTTATTTCAGGTATTTTGTTATCCCACCCACTCATGAAGAATCTGTTTCTAAGGAACTATTTGATTTATTTCAGGTATTTTGTTATCCCACCAAAACGCGAAGGATCTGTTGCTAAGGAACTATTTGATCTATTTCAGGTATTTTGTGATCCCATCCATTGTGAAGGATCAGTTGCTAAAGAATTATTTAATTTATTTCACGTATTTGGTAATACCACCCAGTTGAGACGGATCTGTTGCTAAGGAACTATTTGATTTTTTTTTTTTCATTTATTTTGTGATACCACCCGGTCACACAAAGGATATGTTGCTAAGGAACTGTTTGATTTATTTCAGGTATTTTGTGATCCCACCCGCTCACGAAGGATCTGTTGCTAAGGAAGAATCTATGATCGAAGGAGATGGAGCCAAGTTTGTTTTTGCAGTCAATGGTTGGGTTATGAACGATAATCCTCTAAGAAATTTTGCTGAGGAAGGTACATATTTAGATTAATTTTTATGCACCCACATTTTCTAGAGTTTCAAGATATCGTCTGATGGACTTATGATTTACCTGTATTTATCCGCTGTAGCGTTGATTCATTAGATATACCAATCTGATTAAAATACAGATCTATATTTCGTTTTGTTTTTTATACTTTCGATGGCCTATACTACATGAAGATCTGACCGGTTGTAGCAATAGGTCGCGTCAGAGGTCATACAAGCAGCTTTTGACCCTTTGCATCAGATATTTGATTAACCAATCAACATTGATGTTTCTAGTGGATTACCCACAGTTCAGTGCACCACATGCCAAAAGCTTGCTGCAACAGGCCGTTTCATTGGCTAAACCCTCACACTATTCAGAACACGTCAATGATAACAACTCTTCCAGATCCTAGTGTTGTAAAGACAAATAAAACGAAATTTTGCCCTATAAATAAAAAAACTAAACGAAATAGGACCTGTGTTTTAATCATATTGTAGATACACATATGGGAGCAACGGTGGCCCAGTGAGTAACATGTTGGCTCGCTAACCTGGAGGTCCTGTTTTCGAATCCTGTGTTGACCGAGAAAGTTCATCGGGAATTTCCGGTGTATGAAACATCAATGTCCCATGTACACATTGGCACTCATGTAACAGTTAGAATTCGATATAAGAGTAAAACGTAGCGCTGCTGTCCGGGCAAAATTTCCCCACATAGCACCTTGTATGGCGTATACAGGATGTTAAACCCCATTTCATTTGTAATATTTTTGATATATTTAATATTTCAGGATCTCTTATTTATTTACGAAGAGAATTAGTTGCGTGGGGTGATAGCGTTAAATTACGATACGGTAAATGTCCGGAAGATAGTCCGTATCTATGGCAACATATGAAGCAATATACCGAAGATACAGTTAGAATATTTCATGGTGTCAGACTGGATAATTGTCATAGTACACCTATACATGTAGCAGAGGTATGAATTTGGTTTTTTTCAATATGGAACGGTTGGGTGGTCAAGTGATCTATCATATGTGCTTTAGGCCGTAAGATCTGTCATGGAGTCAAATGGTTTGGTTTCTATCCCAGGACACTATGGGAGGGTTGGATGGTCAAGTGATCTGTTGCATGTGCTTTAGGCCGTAAGGTTTGTCATGGAGTCAAATGGTGTGGTTTCTATCCCAGAACACTATGGGAGGTTTGGATGGTCAAGCGATCTGTTGCGTATGCTTTAGATCATAAGGTCTGTTATTGAGTCAAGTGGTGTGGTTTCTATCCCAGGATTATAAGTGACAAGAAGTAAGATTGGTTGTCTAAACTCATGGGTTTTACTCAAGTTTCCTCCCACTGCTAAAGACCTCTTTAACTTGATATAACAGAGTAAAAAATAAATATTAAAAAAAAACTTGTTTGCGCTATATGACACAATTGGTTTCCCCATGTCAATGGCTAGGACACTGTCTAGTGACGTAAAAGAATCCTTGGCGAAATGCCCATCATAGCCTGGTTGGTGCAGAAAATTAAGATTTTAAACCCCATTTCATTCATTCATTCATTCATTCATTCATTCATTCATTCATTCATCCATCCATTTAATTCATCCATTCATTCATCCATTCTATGATCCAGTGCTTGTGTAAAATTGTTATTGTATTATATTCTATCTGTAGTATATGTTGGATGTAGCTAGAAAGATCCGACCCGATCTCTATGTTATAGTTCTTATATTATATTCTATCTGTAGTATATGATGGACGTAGCTAGAAAGATCCGACCCGATCTCTATGTTATAGCTGAATTATTTACCGGAAGTGAATCTCTCGACAATCTATTTATGAACAGACTGGGTATCAATTCTCTAATCCGAGGTAAAAATTATTTCATTGTTTTTCTTTAAAAAACTTATTATCTAAATGTTTATTTTGTGTTAAATATTGGATATCAGAATCCCATATTTTCCTGGTAAGATCACATCAATGTTGATTTAAATTGACAAATAATTCGTGTTTTCAATGTCGAAGACTTTAGATGATATTGAGTTAGAGACTTAGCTACTCTAAATTGTGGTGGTCTTCCAATTGAAGATAATATTATTTATTGATTTATTGATAGAGGCCTTAAGTGCGTGGGATGCCCACGAAGAAGGAAGACTAGTACACAGATATGGCGGTGTTCCTATTGGTTCCTTTGTTCAGCCTCGAGTTCGACCTTTGACCCCAACTGTTGCACATGCCTTGTTTTATGATCAGACCCATGACAACCCGTCCCCAATAGAGGTAACATGTTATTCTATCATTTATATTAAAAAATTCCTGCTCAACAGCAACAAAAACTGTCTTTAACCCGAAACTTTATGATCATTTATAAACATGAAAAGGCCATTATCAACTTTTGATGCCATCTCTAGCCTGAGATATTTAGCGGATTGGAATACATTTTGTGAAGGATGATTAAACGTAAACATGGATAATCGAGACTTTATTTTTATCGTACCGACTTTAGTAATCATGATCGAGGCTAACCTAAAATTCAAAAGCTAATATCTCGTTCCAGGGTGGAGCAATTTGACTGAAATTTTCAGCATATTCTATTTACGTTATCTATTTTTTTTAACTATTATAGCGAGAATAGTCAACTCTTTATCTAATCTCCCATAGTGCCCCTTTAAGAAAAACGTAAGAAAGACTTTAGATTTATGTTTTATAAATAAATAATTTCAGAAAAGATCTGCCTATGATTTATGGCCAAGTGCTGCGTTAGTTGCCATGGCATGTTGTGCTACAGCTAGTAACCGTGGTTACGATCAACTTGTCCCACATCATGTAAGTATTTTTTGTCACATAAACTAAGTTAATACCTTAGTGACTTTAAAAATATGTCTGTTACTTTAGAATTATGCCAGTGGCTTGAATTTTAGGAATGATGGTAACTTACAAATGATTTGCATTCAGCATTTTCCAAGATGTTTTTCTTTTGGATCCAAAATAAAGTTACCAATTTAATTGATTTTGGATGTTGATTTGTTTTGTCAAACACCAATCAATGTTCATTGAAGCTGTTAAGTCTGTATAAAGTTGCGGGTTCGCTCCCAGTTTTGGCCGAGAAAGTTTCTCACGATTTTTTATCATTTTTTTCTCCTTGCCAGTGATGCAGGACAGAGGGCCTGACAAGGAAAGCTGTCTAGTCGTTTGGATGGGACGGGAAATTGAGGCCCCATGTACACATTGGCGTGCATATAAAAGATCCCTTGGCAGTTGGAATTCGATATAAGAGTAGGCCGCAGTGGCACTCTCCGGGTCTGTATAAAGTTGCGATTTCGCTCCCGGTTTTGGCCGAAAAAATTCCTCAGGATTTCTTGGCTTGGTTTCCCCTTGCCAGTGATGCAGGACAGAGGGCCTGACAAGGAAAGCTGTCCAGTCGTTTGGATGGGACGGGAAATTGAGGCCCCATGTACACATTGGCGTGCATATAAAAGATCCCTTGGCAATTGGAATTCGATATAAGAGTAGGCCGTAGTGGCACTCACAGGGCAAATTACCCTCACATATGTCCGTCTTCAGTAGCCCAGTCGGATCAGAACAGTAGACTATTAATACCCATTTCATTCCATTTTGTGTCGAGTGGACGTTAAAGGGACAATAACACTCTTGCTGGCTTGAAAGCTCCAGAAAATAAATAATATCTCTATCTAAGTACTAGATGTTTAAGTGTCCTACCTGTTGTGTAAATTATCCATTACATCCTATTTTACTTGTCCAGAGGGTTCGAAAATATTTTTAAATCGAAGTAATAAGGTGTGTTAAGATGAAATTTGTATCATCAATTAATTGAAATATTCTAAAATAGTACAATTTGTTGACCAGAATAAAGATTGGGACATATTATTCAGTTACAACAAGAGTGGTATTGAGCCTTTAAGCCCCATTTCTCTCACTCTCTCTAGTTATTGGTGCACGGTTCCCTAAATCCCCTGCCTTGATCAACCACTATCAAGACACTAAACCCCATTTCATCTCTATGTTTTTTAGATACATGTGGTAAAGGAGAAAAGATTATATACATCATGGGCGGACTGGGAGAGACCAGAACGACCATTTATTAATCAAACATTCGGTATCGTAGCTGGTAAAAAAGTATTAAACAAACTTCACCATGAAATGGGTTTGGCTGGTTTTACTCAGGTATGTAATTTTACTGTATCCATGGTTACAGAACAGAGCTAGAAACATTGCTTTTGTGAAATGCAGAAAGTATATAAAAGAGAGATGATGTATATTTCATCTTATGCCCTCTAGAGTTGATGTATATTTCATCTTATATCCTCTAGAGTTGATGCATATTTCATCTTATACCCACTGGAGTTGATGTATATTTCATCTTATACCCACTGAAGTTGATGTATATTTCATCTTATACCTACTAGAGTTGATGTATATTTCATCTTATACCCACTAGAGTTGATATATATTTCATCTTATACCCTCTAGAGTTGATGTATATTTCATCTTATGCCCTCTAGAGTTGATGTATATTTCATCTTATACCCTCTAGAGTTGATATATATTTCATCTTATACCCTCTAGAGTTGATGTATATTTCATCTTATACTCTCCGAGAGTTGATGTATATTTCATCTTATACCCTCTAGAGTTGATGTATATTTCATCTTATACCCACTGGAGTTGATGTATATTTCATCTTATACCCTCTAGAGTTGATGTATATTTCATCTTATATCCTTTAGAGTTGATGTATATTTATCCTTATTCCCTCACCCCCCCCCCCCCCAATTCGATGTATATTTATCCTTATTCCCACCAGAGTTGATGTATATTTAGCCTTATACCCTCTAGAGTTGATATATGGTTAGCCTGATGGCTGACCCTCAAGAGTTCATGTATATGTGGCCCGACCGTCTGTTGATGTGATATAATAATAATAATAATAATCTTCTATTTATATAGCGCGATAATACTAAAACTAAAGTTTCTATTGCGCTTTTCAAGTTTTTTCGCTTGAACTACGGAAACGCTTCTGTAAACAGAAGTGTCTTTAGCTGTGATTTAAATACATCTAGGGAGTCAATGATTCTAATGTTGGAAGGTAGCAAATTCCATAAGAGAGGATCAGAGAACGAGAAAGATCGTTTTGCTATTTCTAGATTCACTGATGGTTGATAGAGAAATTGTTTATCTGTGGATCTAAAAGTTCTTGTGGATTTATATGGGGTAATCAGATCTTTGATATATTTTGGTGATTGATCATATAACGCCTTGAAAGTCCGGCAATACTATATACCGGAAAACACCGGAAAACAATCAGAAAACACCATTTTATACTGAATACCGGAAAAACACTAAATACCGGAAAATACCCTAAATAGGTAACCCGGAGACTGGCACCCTAAATAGGTAACCGGGAGCCTGGTCCTCTGTGTGCCTGGGTTAGGGTTAGGGTTAGTTTCCGATTTATTGTATAGCCCTTCTATGGGTTACCTATATAGGGTGGTTTCCGGTATTTAGTGTGTTTTCCGGTATTTAGTGTTTTTCCTGTGTTTTCCGGTATTCATTATAACATGGTATTTTCGGGTAGTTTTCTGGTTGTTTTCCGGTGTTTTTCGGTATATAGTATAGCCCTTGAAAGTCAACAGTAATATTTTCAACTTGATTACACACATATTTCAGGTTTACGTAGATCAGCTAACTTCTGATACTGTGTCTGTTACCCGTCATAATCCACTATCCCATGATTCAATAGTACTAGTCGCACGTACAGCATTTACGCATCCAGCCAAACCTACTTGTCCTGGTCAACATATCAGACCTCTAATTTTACAAGGTATTTATAGATTTTTATTTTATTGCTATTTTACACACCTCCAGACCATATCTCCCATAGCAACTATTCCTGTTTTACACACCTCCCTGCTATATCTCCCATACCAACTATTGCTGTTTTACACACCTCCAGACAATATCTCCCATACCAACTATTGCTATTTTACACACCTCCAGACCATATCTCCCAAAGCAACTATTCCTGTTTTACACACCTCCCTGCTATATCTCCCATACCAACTATTGCTGTTTTACACACCTCCAGACAATATCTCCCATAGCAACTATTGCTGTTTTACACACCTCCAAACCAGGGAACAAAATAACTTTCGACAATTAGTTTGCAGTATGAAACAGTTTTAATAAATTTTTGCTAATCAAATCAAATTTCGATTATCAGTTTTGGTTATTTGAGGTGCAGTTACAATCTATCATTAATTCTCAATATTAATTAAATGTAACAGTTTACTTTTTATTTACCCTAAATATATAGCCTATAAATTACTGTACGATAAACATTAGCAGTTAGTTTGAAAAATATTAATTTTTTTTAATACAAGTTACTGAGGTCACAGGACATAGATTGTATTGTGCATGACACCAATCATTTAAAGGGACAGTAATACTCTTGCTGGCTTGACAGCTCCAGAAAATAAAAAATAGCTTTATTCTAAGTACTAGATGTGTTAGTGTCCTACCTGTTGTGTAAATTATCCATTAAATCCTATTTTACTTGTCCAAAGGGTTCAAAAATATTTTTAAATCCAAGTCAGATTTGAAAAGCTTTACGTCAGGCTTTTCAAATCATTTAGTTGAATCTTTCCAATTTTTTAAATTAGATGTGTTAAGATGAAATTTGTATCATCAATTAATTGGAATATTGTAAAATAGCACAATATGTTGATCAGAATAAA